GTATTATATATATTATAATATATAGAATATATATTATAAAATATCTGTTTAGATCAAACTTCGGACTTGGGCCTAGTAATTTTCTATTTATAAAGAAGCAAAGCCTGCTTGTGAATAGGTATAGCTAAAACATGTTTTAACTTAACTCTTCAATTCAAACTAGTGAATAGGTATAGCTAAAACATGTTTTCCAATGGTTCTGTTATAAGGCAAAACTTGTCCCATTGACGCGATGTGACAATGTATCTACTAGTGAGTAGTGACTAAATCTATCCATTGGTTGGGGTACATTGGGTTTGGGTTGGGCTTTGCCTCTTTATTAACAAAATAAGTTCAGGTTTGAACTCCAACCTAACCCTCCTATAAGGCCTAAAGCCTAGCCTTTAAATTGGGAYTTTTTTTTTGTTTTTTACTCAATAAAAAACTGATTTATTTATATCAAATGACCTTAAAACCAAAAAGTGTTGAAATATTTTACTATGGTTAGGAAAAGATAAGAGGAACAAAAAAATATATATATTATATATATTATATAAAATATGTTTTTATTATATAAAAAATTATTGGGCTAGGCTTGGGCAAGCTTTTTAAGAAAGCCTGGGAGCCCAAGTCCGTGGGCTTGAATTAATGTTCAAGTTTGACAAAGAATGGCCTGGGCCAGGCCGACAAAAAACAGTCCTACTCATAAAAAATTATACTATTGAAGTACAATGCATGCATTCATAGATACCAATAGACCTTTAGAAGTACCTTTTATATCCTTGTAAACAGCAAAGTGGAGGTGAAAATGGACCGCATCATGATTTGATCCGATCCAAATCTAATTATAGTTTTCTTAGATTCAGATAGCCTTGGATTTTCGGATTGGATTGGATAATCTGATCCTACCAATATATATATATATATAATATTTACTTATAAAAATGTATATATATATATGATGAAAATAGTTGAAAAAATAGTTATATTTTTTGTTTTTTTTTTTTGTATAAACTTTTATGTTTTTTAATAATTTATAAAATTTTTCATAATTCAAATGGAATCGGATCAAATTCAGATATCCAACAACCTTAACGAATTTAGACCTCAATTATCATTTGTGAGATCTGTTTGGATCAAATCTCAAATATGTGCTATTGGATCGGGTTTAGATATATCCTGATCAATCTGATTCGTTTGCATCCTTAATGCTCAGTTTGGAAGGAGTACAAATACGAATATGTACAATGCAAATACATATAAAATAATACAAAATACAAGGTTTTGCATTCTATTTATTTTTAGTTTTACTCCTTCCGAACTGAGCCTAAAGCAAAGATATCTATGCTAATTGTCAGATACACCAGCCATAATTAGAGTCTAACGACTGATTAATGCGCACTGGAGGAAAAGTACGGAGAGGCCCAATGAAGATTTCTGAATTCCACTGCAGACCTATAAACATTCAAAATGTCAAATACCCCCACTCTATACATCAATGTCCCCTCGTAAATTGGTATCAATTCCGAGTTGACACCTACCCAAACTGTACTTTAGGCCTAAAAATTCTGACCCTAGGCTGAACCGTCATTCTCCCTTAAATTACTCTTTAAATAACGAGTTCTCCATAACCCGGTCCAATTAAACTGTCTTATCAACCTGTTTACCTGCTTAGAAGCTCCGCTTGACACAACGACCACAATAATGAATAAGACGTGATAGACGAATTTTTTTTTAAGAAAGACGTGATAGATGATTACTAACATTTAAATCGACCCTTCCCATAAATAAAATCAAGATTGAGAGGTTATCAAGATGAAAAATAGAGTTGAGAAACTAATCTCACCAGGGCCGCTACATCCCTATTTAATATCCAAAATAAAATGAAGCACGTTATCCTCGTAGGTTTGGAAGAATACCTAGGAGACTTTCTTCTCGGTCTTGAAAGAAATGAACGCAATTGGCCTATATTCCGTTGGCTCCGTTTGGGAAGAGTGCAAATAAAATGCACATGCAAATATGTAGAGTGCATTTCAGTTCATAGAAAAGCAAAATTGGTTTAGTTTTGTATTGATAAATTTTTCTTGTCAAATGATTTTTAGTTGTAATGGATGCATTGCTGAATCCTGAGGTTGAATTATACCTTTTCAACATTTGATCAACTTTGAGTCCTTGAGTGCAAATGTATATTTTTTTATATAAATTTCTCTCTCATTTTGGGTGAAACATGCCTTAGAAACTATGCTTTCTGTCATTGTCAATATGCAAATTTATTCTTGCCAAACACTAGCAAAACTGAACCAGAATGTATATATGCACTGAATTGGCATTTTYACTTTTCCCAAATTGAGCCTTTGCAACATGTTTGATGTCTCATCTTCGAAAAAATAATTGATTTCATCCAAGAAATGGAGATTTTTTTGACAAGAAGTCCAAGAATAGGAGAATGGAGATAGAAACGTGCTGCAGTGCTGGAAGGAAATTATATTTCCTCCCAAGCTGCAGTGTGAAAAATTTTGTAAAAAATGGAAAAAAAATTCAAAATAAAATGAACAGATTATGGAATTGAGATCTGCTCCTCACAGAGCGCTTCTCACACCCAACCTCACAACCACATCCCACCATCTATTGAGAACATCTCCCCATGAATAATAAATACAAATATGGGAGATGTTCCCGATGTGCGGCCAAAATATGCTGTGAGAAGCGTTTTGTGAGGAGCATATCTAGACTCCAGTTTAGGAATCAAGCCATGTGACATGGCTCATAATTGTTTAAGACTCACCATGACTTTTTCAGTATTTCTCTTAAACTCACCATAACTTTTCAAAATGTCTAAAAACTCACAATGTCAATGAGTTTTTGTTTTCCAAAACTCACCCTCTGTCAAAGTATCGTTAATATTCACTAACATAAGTTGTCCACACCAGCATAAATACAATTCGCATGATCAAATTGCCCCTGACTAGTGAATTAGAGAAAAAAAACTCATTTAGGGTCTCTCTCATTCTCTCATTTTGCCGATCTTCACTCTTCCTCTGTTGCTTAGAACTTCCAGCACTCAACTCTCTCTCTCTTTCTCTCTCTCTCCCCGCTCTGATCTCCAGATGTCACACTGCCGCTCACTATCTCGCTCTCTTTGCTCAAGTCTCCAAATCTCCAAGGTAGACATTGCACCATCGTCTCTCGCTCAGATTTATAATAGATGGGCACCGCACTGCCCTCTCTTTGATTAGATCTCYGAGATGCTACACCACCCACCCTCACTTAGATTTGTAGTATGTGGGAACCGCTACGTGGGCACTACACCACACCACCGTCTCTCAGATCTACTGTTTGAATGCCACCTCCACACCACCACTCATATTTTTGGTTTTAAGATGTAGAGGAATGAATACAATGATAAAAAATTTCGGAGATTTCTAGTGTTTTGAAATATTTTAATGTATTGTAAATTTTTGCAACTTGAATCTAGAATGTAAATCTCCATCAATGACTTCATAAATGTATGCAAAAATATTTTCGTAAATTCTTATTTGTTTGTCTTAAATATTTTTTGAAAATTTATTACAATATTCCTTGGATGCCATGTCTAATTTTTGTTTGATTCTGCCGAAAATTTTTATCATTTTATTAGTTTGTTTGCATTTATTATATATAAATGAGCATTTCTTTTTTCTTTTGAAATTTCTGCTTTTTAGTTCATATATATATAAATAAAATTTTTATCACTTTATGTATTTTTGTAATTGATTTTTTTTTGAAAAATTTATCATGTTCTTGTTTTCTAAAATTTATTACTTTTTTCTATATAATTGTTATCATTTTGTGTATATTTGCAATTTCTGTTTTTTATGCAATCTTTATATTTTTTTGAGTTTTTGTCTTTTTCAGTTTTCAATTTTCTCTTTTTTGCATTTTTAGTGTTTTGTTATAATTTACAATGTTTTTTTATAATTTCTGTTTATTTTTACATTTTTTATTTTCTACAATCTATAAATTTTCTTGTATTTTTTGTTATTTATTTACAGTTTCTGTGTTTTTCAGTTTTTCTATAATTTTTTATGTTTTTTCTACGATTTTTATTTTCTGATTTTGCTTTTCGATTTCTACAGTTTCTATAATTTAAAAATATGTTTTTTCTTTTTTTCATGTCTTTTTAGTTTAAAACTTAAAATACTAAAATATATATGCATATATTTTATATTTTTCTATAAAGGGTAAAATGGTAATATATTAACAACCATTAGTTTGTTTAGCGTCAAGTTAGTGACATGGTGAGGTTCAGACATTTTGAAAAATTATGRTGAATTTAAAAGAAATACTGAAAACTCATGATGAGTTTTAGACAATTTCCCTTTTTATTAATATACAGTAATAAATAGTTGCAGGAATCCAATCTAAACAGTGGAATGCAACTATTGCTCCCTCACGTATGAATAAGTTCCAAACTTCCAACTATCATGGGATGTGAAATTAGTGGTCCTTGGAAAAACTCACAACCAATTAATTGGTATCATAAAAGAACATGACCTTTTATCATCACTATGAAAAATTATTCTTGAGATTGTGAAACTGGGTTATTTTCCTATTAGAAAGGATGTGGTCATATGTAAGGTGAAGATGATGTTGGCATACGAACTCCGCCCAATTGAACTGATTAAGAATAATTAGGATTAGCTGAACGCGATGGCTGTTCAGCCGGCTGGTAATGCTTGATTATAAATTCTGGAAGCCGTTTATTTTCGATGCCAGAAGACCACCTAAGACCATAACAATATTTTCCTTTCTACTTCTCTTTTGTTAACTTTGTTTTTGTACTTATCATGTAGCAGGTTCTAACAATTGGTTCCTCAAATAAAACATTGGTGTCTGACAAAAAATAATTAAAGAAAGAAAAACACTGGATGGATTTTCACTGTACCCATAAAATGTTCCAAGCAGAAAGCCTGAAATTCAAGAGATGAAGACATGCTGGAACTCTGTCTAAAATTATGTGAACAAGAGAAACTCAGAAATAATTACGAGAATGTGAAAAAAAATCATTGCAAGATGAATTTGATATGTTCATAATGGGCATTAATTGCGAATGCCATATGTAACATATTCAGTGTACAAGCCAAGTTCGGTTTGTATTCTTTCTTCTTTGCTGCATATGTTTACAATCCTTGTGGAGAAATCACATATCAATCAATATTCAAAAGACTTATGACTGCTAATTTTACTGATGGACAATACTTGACTGAACATACCCAACTAAACAATGCTGATTACATAAATCCTCTTTTGCCATTTCTATCACGATCCATATCCATGGTTAAATGCCGAACCCTTGAATCATTTCTTACTACTTAAACCCGGGTATTTTTTGGCCTGCTCCAGCTCTCCAACTTGCATTGGATCACCTTTACTAGCTCTTGCTTTCCTTTCACATGTACAACTTGAATATTACATAATCTAAGTATGGTGACCAACATTCTGACCATCCAAAAGTCTAATCAGAAAATGATATTTTCAAACTCTACCTACAGACAAGGGTATTTACATGGCCTTAACATTCTGTCACCTGAGGGCTGTAGCTAAATATGCACTTTATCAGGACTGCCATCCCTTTAATTGAAATCTGCTTGCTATTTGAGGACAAATTTTCTCCAAAGCACCAAGTATACACTTTCTGTATGAGAAGTCTTCAATGGTTCCATCTGTTCTTACCAACATAAAACAGCGGGATTGCTGATGTTCCGAGTGATAGCCAACCTGCCAATAGCATTGGAAAACAAACAATGCATCAAGATGGATTTTCATGTATGGAAATGCAATTGTACATACACTGAGAACTGGTAGTGAAATAACATTTGAATGCTATGCATACAAATTTGTTCACCTTCAGCATTTACCATAATAACTCCCTAGAAGAGAAACAACTGCATTTGGATAATTTTTGCCACATGGGCAAAATCAGCATAGTGAGAATATGCAATCTCGACTACATGAACAAGTAGCAGTCTAGCAGAAAACAGATTTAAAAAAAAAAAAAATAGAAATGACAACTTGGCATCATAGGTCTATGATTTAATCATGTTCAATTCAGCCCAAACAAGGGATACAACTTGGGTTGGCACAACACAAAATTTTAAATGGGCTGGGTTTGGATTTTCGGTCCTCAGGTTGGGCTGGGCCCAAAACCTTGGTTTTTAATTTTTCAGGCTGGACCTGGGCCTAGACCTTTGGTAGCCTGAGGCCAGTCCAACCTTAACCCGTTCGAACCATGCATGCGTACATAGAAAGGAAATATACAATAGTCCTATCTAATGACTTAAATTGCTGATATTAAATAGGTTTAGTGCCATTTTTAATACATGAGCTCAGTAGGCCAATCTGAGCCTCATCTGAGCCCAAGTCCAACCCTAGTGTAGCCAAAATTTAATTTGGGCAGATCAGATGACCTCAGGCTTGGTCCGTGCTTGGGCCTTAGGGCCAAGTCTTAGGGTTGGGCCTGGGTAGACCTTAAACCTGGCCTAGCCCACCCGAGTTGCACCCCTATCCCAAACACTGAATACAACTCCAAATATTATCTACTTCTGCTAATTAACATTAGGTCTAGATAACAGGGACTGACATTTTCAATAACATGAAGAGATGGTAAATATCATATAGAGACTTCACGGTTGTTACCAATTAGACAAACTTCTCATTTTTTTTCATAACAAGAACTAAAGAAGAAAACATATTTTCCCTTGATGAAGAAGTTTTGGACAAGACAATGTCCCCACCCTTATTCTTGGAAGTACCTTGATGTCCTTTGGTCCAGTTCCCATCTTCTGGTTTCTTTTAGGATGAAAATATAAAGCCCTCAACAAGATGGATTTATCCACTTCACTTAAGTAATCATTAATTGGGTACCTACAATCAAAAAATAATTTTATGCATCATCAGAACTTTATAGGGACTTTATGCTAATGTAGATATGTTATTTGTACATGGAACCCATGTACATTGTACCATATAGTACTCACCAGTTGCATATACCATGAAGATGAAATACCAGCCCAAACAATTCATTCATGAAAAATATTGAACATTAAACATGCACCAATATCGTCACAAATGGAATCTATAAATCAGTAAACTACAAATCATATTTATTCTTTCTGACACAAGCATGGAACTGTAAATGAAGCTTCAGCCTTAGCTGTCCAAAATCTAAATCATATTGTGACACATTTCTCATTTTCTTAAACCCCTTAACTCTGTCATGAACACAGAAAACAAACTAAATCATATGCAACAACTATGT